ATCATAAAAAAATTATTATTTTGCCGAGTGCCATTAAAAACACTCGGCAAAAACATTACTTTGCCGAGTGTAAACAAAAAACACTCGGCAAAATTATTAGTTTGCCGAGTGTCAACAAAAAATACACGGCATGCCTTGTCTTTGCCGAGTGTCTCTAACGGACACTCGGCAAAGTTCTAACCGTAGGGCGGCGCACCCAACGGCCGTCAGATGGCCACCGCACGCCCAGCGCACGTGACTCCATTTTGCCGAGTGTCCGTGTTTGCCGAGAGTTTTCTTGTATTTTACCGAGTGTTTTATATTAAGCACTTGGCAAAGTTGGATTTTGCCGAGTGCTATATGTTTGCCGAGTATTTCATTAAATACACTCGGTAACTTTGATGTTTGCCGAGTGCTCAATGGAATGCACTCGGCAAAGGCTCAGGCACTCGGCAATGCTACTGTTTGCGGTAGTAATGATTCGCCACGGCTTTGTACTTTAGAAGGACATAAAGCCACATAGCTAGGCAATTGTGAGAGTCTGAAAGGACTGAATCGATGTCCAGAGGGTGTTGAATATGCCTACAAAAATTCCCTACATAAAATAATTAATTTTGCAAAGGCTCACGAAACCAGCTAGGCCGTTTGTTCTAAATCGGCTAGGCCAGTTTTTTCCAGAGTGGTCCGATCATCTCGTCGAAACCAGCTTAGTGGTACGGGATATTGATAAACGAAATACATTGCAGAAAACACAATTTGTGGGATTACTGCAAAAACTAACTTAGTTGGTTTCGGCAACCAAACCCTAAATCGGGATTCCTACCAATGCAACTAATCAATTCGATTTTCCTTCAAGGCATAACATCTAGGGCATCTAAGAAGCACTTCTACCCAAGGGATTTGAAAGATATAGCTCGAGCACATAGATCAGGTAAGATGACTAGTTGAGAACGAAATCCACTTGGGGAAGACTTGCTTACAGTTGAATCTTGCACATTTGAAGATTTGAGAGAAGAACTATGAGGGGGCGTCGACCATGAGTCGAGGAAGGACAGACAAAACAATGGAAAACAATGGGAGAGAGATAAGGAAAAAAGGGTATGCCCACAGGATATTTGGACCTTGGCCGCAGAAATCGACATAGCCGGTATTGGCAGCCCCAACCCAAACAACTCAGATTTCAGAAGATTTTCAAGGAATGGATTATTCAAAGATAGCTTTAGCTATTGTTGACCTCCATTAATCCAATAAAACTTGATTAGCAAGATTTGGCACTGAGATCTTGAAACTTGATGGATTTGGAAGAATTTTCTCAAATGAACTTTACTGACCAACTTTTGATTTTACACAACACTGGAGAGTGCACAAAAATAGAACTTCCTATGGTCGTCAAAACTTCCGATGTAACAATTAGTTCATTATGACCCCTGGTAATAATTAGCTAGCTAATGGTTAACCAATTGTATTAACTAGGTAACTATTAACACTACGGATCTAAACCGACCCTAATCGGTTAGCTGATTGCTTGGCAGATCTCTGGTCAAGCTCCTTGGCTTATTTAGAGGAATAGCTTTGTCAAACAATATTTTTTTAAGATACTCTGAAAGTGATTCTACTGAGTGATTTGTAAGATAAATTAGGATCTAAGAGTTAGAAAAACTATCCTTTTTAGCTTCCTATGATAGATATGGTCTCAGTTAGGGCAAGGACCGAAGCAGACATTCATTCCAGTAGGCAGTAGCCTCCTCTTGGATCTCACGAGGGTTTCGTTTCATTTCATTCCGATCCATTTGTAGCTCCCCTAGCTAACCAGCGGCAAGCTGCTAGGTCACTCAGAAGTCTCCAATCCATTTGTAGCTGACCTTGCATGCATCCTAGTAATTCCTACCGGCATTGCTGTGGGCCTGCTAGGCATTCAGCCCTTGTTTAGTTGGGTGAATTTGGATTTTGGGGCTACTGTAGCATGTTTGTTTTTATTTGGTAAATAGTGTTCAAACATGGACTAATTAGGCTCAAAACGTTCGTCTCGCAATTTCCCACCAAACTGTGCAATTAGTTTTTATTTTCGTCTACATTTAATGCTCCATGCACGAACCGTAAACATTCAATGTGACAGGTACTGTAACAACTTTTTGGACTTTGGGTCCAACTAAACAAGGCGTCATTCGGCCATTCTTGGCTCGCGCCGGAGGTCACTGCAGCTGCAGGCGGTCCAGACTCGCCAAAAGGAGCGTCGGCGTGCAGCCGCCGGAACCAGGCGGCCTCTACGCGCGCGCACATCGTCTCCAATTAGTTTGGCCATGCCGTGTACCGTGTACGCATGCACAACGTGGTAGCAGCGGCACGTAATGTCTGGCTCGCAGTTAAGTGCGCCTGCAGGCTGCCGGCATACGGTCCAGGGGGGCGCACCGTCGTCGATGCGGCGCATGTGGCCTCTCTCCGTGCACGCGCCACCGCGGCGCGCCGGCGGGAACGCTGCTCGTGGACGTGTTGGTGTTGCACAGACCTACTATTAGCGTAGCGTTGTATACTAGCAAAAGCATGTGTTGGAACGGGCTACTTGGTAGCCACGCGTGCAGGAGGATTAGCCTAGAAACGGTGGAAATGTTCGATCAAAATGGCCGGCGATTTGAATTTACTCGGACAGTCCCATACAACTCGTACAGGTTTCAGGGTGAAGAACATAACCGGAACACAAGGCATCATGTGTGTCCTTAGTCCTCGCCGTAGTTAGCTGAATTCGTCGGGGCCAACATTCATGCAGTGTAATGATGCACTTCGTCTCTGCTCTGTTCTTCTGTCAGTGTCATTGGCGTGTTCTACCAAGACGTAGGTGCCGATGGGGTCGAGGTGGCGGCCGGAGCGCGCGTGGAAGGCCAGGATCCTGCCGCCGGCCGCGGGGAGCGCGAACGGGACGCCCTCCGGCCGCCCGAACGGCCCGTAGGCGCGGCGGTTGCTGACGAACGTGAGCGAGCGCACGACGACGAAGTTGCCCTGGAACGTGCCTCAGTGGCCTTCCACGCTGGTCAGGTACTCGTCCGGGTGCAAGCAGACCTGTCAAGAGTTGCAGTGACCGCAGAGACCTGGCGAGGTCGGTCCAGGTCCACTCGTCGCGGCCGCCGCGGTCGTACAGGACGGACACGGCGTCGACGGTGTCGCCGACTCGCCGTGGCGGACGACCACCTTCACGACGCGCCCCACGTCCCGGGCCTTGCGTCGCGTCGCGTCACATCATCAGCAAAGAAAACGTGGGAGCACCGTGTCAGAAAGACAAGCGTACGTACGCATGCACGCCGCGCTCCAGCGCTGTGCTGTGCGGCGCAAGGCTGTGTGCTGGGGTGGGTTCCATCGCATCCAGCATCCTGCGTGCTGCACGTACCATCCCATCACCGATCGATCGCCGAGAAAGGGAGGGAGGCCGGGCGGCGGGCGGCGGGCGGCGGGCGTGCAGCCTTTGCAATGAGCCTTGGCCAATGGCGACGGGCTGGTCGTACTCGTACGGCGGGCTCTGCTGGCTGTGACGGGACGGCACGGGGGGCTCGATCGAATTTGTGGCGGGTGCCACCAAGTCAACCACGGGCGGTTGGATTGGCTGGCTGGCTAGTCGTGGTACGTGGCTACGTGCTCGGCACTACCATTGCGCGTTCTACGATTGCCTCACTGGCTGTAGTATGTTTCAAAGTTTGGGACAGAAGGTAATGCCATCTGCCAGACAGGCTGTGCGTTGGATTTAACTATGACGACGACTAGCGTTTTCCACACGATTCGAGCCGAGGTCCGTATGAACGACAGCACGAGGACGACCACGTCGAGGCAAGTGCCGATAGCTTCGCTTCGAAGTGTCCGCCGCCGCTCCGGAGACGCAGTACCAGACGTGCGTTGCCCCCCGGCGTCTCAGCCGGCTGCTGGCAATGGCCCATGGCTGGCCTGCTGGGAACGAAGGAGTCCAAAATATAGGAATAGGAAAAAATACAGGAATAAGATACGATAAAAAATGAAAAACTATAAGATTTTAAAATACAGAAAATTTAGACTGTTTGGAACAACGCAGGGATAACTAATCTCCTCCACACTGGGCCGCTGTGCCGTGCCTGTTCAGTCCTGCTTCCCGTTTATTCCCTGTGCCGCGGTGACACCCGTCGCAGCCCTGTTCGTGCGGTCCGTGGACCCTGCCCACTGCGTCTTGCTTATTGGGCCGCCTGCCTGCGCCACATTTCCTCGACAGTGCCAGATGAGTCGGCTGCCTCGGGCTTCGGCGCATGAAAAAAAAAACAGAGGTGGGAGCAGATGTTTAGGGCGTGTTTAGTTCCGAAAATTTTTGGCTTTTGGCTACTGTAGCACTTTCGTTTGTATTTGGTAAAAATTGTCCAATTATGGACTATTTAGGCTTAAAAGATTCGTCTCATGATTTCTCGGCTAACTGTGTAATTAGTTTTTTTTTCGTCTACATTTAGTACTCCATGCATGTGCCGCAAGATTCGATGTGACGGTTACTGCGCAAAAAATTTTGGATTCTGAGGGGAAACTAAACGGGCCTTTATTTTCCTATGAAATCTCGTTGCCGCTACAGTATTTCAGAGGAAAGGGTCTGTCCTATTCCTTTGATCCAAACACCCTGCTCATTTTCCTTTCTACGTTTTTATTTCCTTCATTTTTCCTATGAAAATCCCGTGATCCAAACGACCCCTGAGTTCGCGAGGATATAGAAATGCAAAAACAGGATCTCACGCTCCACTGTGATTCTTTCTAGTGGCCCATGAATAGCCAAAAGTGGAGATCCAAAGATCTTACAAACCCTGACAAACCCAGCCACATTACTTTCCCAGTAAGAGCGCAACACGGTTCGCTTCGCTTCGCACTCCAGTAAACAACTATTCTCTCCTTTTGCAGTCTGTAACACGGGTGTAATGTAACAACAACCAAAAGTCCAACCTTGGATTACAGTTTACAGGCAATCACAAAAAAAAAAGAGCATCATATCTGGTTAAATTCCAATCCAATAATGTACCACTACTACCCCCCTAGCAACACCCGAACCGGCTCGTCTGCTTCTGGTCATCTTTCGAGTCGCCGTCAATGCTTACCCTGTTGAGCGACAGCTCGGCCTTGTAAGAATCCGAGTTCAGGATCTTCCGGCTCACGTTACTGTAGATCTCCTTGATGACGATCTCGAAAGCCGTCTTCACGTTCGTGGCGTCCAGAGCCGACGTCTCCATGAAGAACAGGCCTTCGGCTTCGGCGAGCACCTTGCCTTCCTCGACAGGCACTTCGCGGATGTTATCCAGATCGCATTTGTTGCCTACCAACATCTTGGCTACGGTAGTGTCAGAATGTGCTGCATTAGTTTCCAAAGGTGGGTTAGTTACTCCAGAAAAAAAAAATTAGAAAACAAAATGTGTTATCTACATGATCTTGGGAAGACAGCGCCGCAGTACATATACAAGTGAAAGAAATGAATTGTTGTGAATTTATCATTGGCATCCATGAATCCAAGCCGTGAACAAGCACCAACCAGGAGAACAGGACCATACATATAAGGGTTAATTGCTTCGGACAATTGGACTTATTACAAACTCAATCAAGCACCATTGAACCTTTTGAGTAAGTGATGTAATTAAAAGATCAAAGGATGCCACTAGTACCAGGAATGGTACAAGAAACAAAAACTAAGAGCATAACCATTCGTGCATGATCCTTAGGCAGGAATAGTGTGGTACTGAGCACATTGCGCAGTCCTAGGCAATAGCCCCCCAGCCATGCATTCTGATTCTCTTTGACATGCAAAGTAGGTAGAAAGAGCACTACTTGCTTTAAAGAATGCATCAATGTGTTCTTAAACGTTGCCAACAACAGCTACGATTCAAATCTTTGTTTGTGCATCCCATCAGCAAACAGCGTGGTGAGGTACGATTGAGCTCCTTGTTTCTGCATCCCCTCAGCAAACAGCGTGGTGAGCACCCTTTTACCACCTCACCACCCTGCCAGAGCCACCTCTCACCATGCCACCATGGCAGCAAGCGGTGAAATCACCACCTCACCACCCTGCCTATACCTAACCGCTTCGATTTCTCGCCACCAACTGGGCCTTGTTTAGTTGACGAAATTTTTTAGCAAATGGTACCGTAGCACTTTCGTTGTTATTTAGCAATTAGTGTCCAATCATAGTCTAATTAGGCTTAAAAGATTCGTCTCGTGAATTTCGTCTAAACTGTGTAATTAGTTTTATTTTTTATTTATATTTAATGCTTCATGCATGCGTCCAAAGATTCGATGTGACGGAGAATCTTGAAAAATTTTGCAAAATTTTGGGAACTAACTATGCACTAGAGAGTAGCGACTGACTCCACCCAACAGCAGTCCTCCAACACATCTGCTGACCGCCTCTGGAGCCAATCCTCTAAGTCTTGTTGTTCTTATCCAATTCCCACACCACCCACAACCCAAGCTCTAAGTCTAACACTAATCCCACCTCCTAGTCCAATTGATCAACAACGGCACGACAAAAGTGTACGCTGCTACTGGTTGCAAAGCGGTCATCGCATAGTAATTTTGCGTTTGGGATGTTGGCGAAGCATAACCAAAACAATGTAAGCATTGTGCTTACTCATCGAGGCCTCCCTAGAGACCCTAGGGAATTAACAACTGAACTTCCACACGGAATTGCAGCAAGACAACAAGTACCATAAACATCTTAATCAGAACTGATTCCAACTTCTTAAATATAAACATCCCATCAATCAGAACTTCCGAAATCTGTTACAAGTACCTAGCTTGCACATACTACTAATTCTGATGGAAGTGGTCCTACACATTCATTCTCATGGAACTTTCCACAACAAGAGAGGCAGCAGGATTCAGATCCAGATTCAGACCAGGTCGCTCAATCCATCCGGCCTAGCACTTGCCCTCTTTCTTACCATCTAAAGAACACCTGACGCAATCACCACCTGAGGGCACCTAGCTACAAGCTAGTACATCAAGCAAAAGGGACGACAGTTCTTTTTCCCAAATTTCCGAGTGGATTCTGCAACCACACTAAAATGCATGACCCTTTCCACGAAAATCACCCCCAGATCTACGCGGTCCTAGCGTCATAGCAATCAGAGGCATTCGCTGTGTGCAAGCAGTAGTACCAAAAGCAAGCAAGCAAGCGATCGAGCTAGCAGAGGATGAGAGGAGAGCTGCGGTGGGGCAGGTCGGGGTAGGGTACGTACTGTTGAGCTCCTGGAGCCAGCGGCCGACGTTGTCGAAGGTGGAGCGGCGGGAGATGTCGTAGACGAGGAGCGCGCCGAAGGCGCCGCGGTAGTAGGCGGAGGTGACGGCGCGGAAGCGCTCCTGGCCGGCGGTGTCCCAGATCTGGGCCTTGACCTCCTTGCCGTCGATGTCCATGCTCTGCGTCTGGAACTCCACCCCGATGGTGGCCTTGGAGTGGAGGTTGAACTCGTTGCGCGCGTACCGGGACAGCAGGTTGCTCTTCCCCACCGCGCTGTCCCCGATGATCACCACCTTGAACAGGTACTCCTCCGCCTCCCCGTCCGACTCGTCCCCCATCGCCCCTCGCTCCGGTGGCTAGAAGCTAGCTACCGCCGCCGCCGCCTGGCCCGTGGCCGTGTCGTGGTCGTCACGGACGGTGGAGCGAGCAGGCGGGCGGATACGGCAATGCGCGAGATTTGTAGCGGGTTTGGGGCGCTCGCGCGGTGGGTTTTGACCGAACACGAACACGAACACTCAGGTGTGACGGGGTTGGGTCGGCGCGGCACGGGGCCGCGGCGCCTCCACTCGCGCCGCGCTGGGGGCGGTGGTGGGGTGGTGAGAGGTGCGAGACCGAGACCGAGACGAGACGAGTGGGAGACTAGTGGGCCGCACGGCGGTGGACGCAGCGACCACGTCACGCGCGGCTGGTGGTGGGTTCCGCCTCTGACGGGTGGGCTGCGGTGGTCGGCACGCGCTCCGCGGGGCCGGCCTGTCAGTCGAGTTGTGGAGGAGTGCCTGTCACGGCGCCGCACCCCGGGGGCCGGCTGCCTGTCTGCCTGCTTGCGGGCGCGCGTGAGTTGGCGCCTCGTTGTTCGATGCGGGAGTCTGTGGCGGCGAGCGAGACCAGCCAGGCGGTGACGGGCCGGCGGCTCACGGCTGGGCTGGAATCGCGGCCGCGGGCCGTCTCCGCCGTTTTCAGCGAGGCTGGCACCATGGGAGCTCTCCGTCCGTCTCTCGCCGTCGGCTGGCACCATGGCTGGGCTGCGGTGGTCACTCTCAGACTTGTGTGGTAGTATCTCCTTATACAACTAAAAACTAAAAAGAACAAAACTAACGCAACCGAATGCTGCGACAATTTTCGGTTCGTCGCTCTATCTCCCCCGCGCGATCCCACGAGCCTGCCTCTCCCGAAATCGTTTGCGGCAGTCCTGCGCTGATCACAGTAATCACGGCACCTCCCTATCCCACCTTCCTAAATTCCCTCCCGTCCCGCCTCCTAATTTCCTAAATCGCGCATCCCGCGTCTACCGCCGTCATCTGCGCTCGCCTCCCCGAGGGTCTTCCGGCAGGAGAACGCCTCGTCCTCGAGCAGTCCAAGCAGACCGGCAAGCTCATCAACCACCTCGGCCGAACCTTCTTCCTGATCCCAGTTCCCACCCGCAGTCTGCAGTAGCGCCCAACGGCGAGAGGCGGCCGACAAGGCGCAGTTCGTTCCCAGTTCCCACCCGCACCGGGAGCCGCAGTCGCAGCAAGGTGATCCCCGATCCCAAAGACAGTCACCGCCTTCTCGATCCCTCTCCATCCCCAATGAATTAGTGATCACCGCAAACCTTCTCTCAGCCTGCACACCAGCGTCGTGCAATCTACTACCACGTGCCCACATCCCACACTGTCAGCACGCTGACTTCATTGCCGTCAGCGTTTCCATCCGAGAATCATCCGTGTCGACAGGTACATTTCATTTATTTATGATTTTCATCCTGTGATCCATTTCTTTTCGAGGACGTGCATTTATAGATCCCAGTAACTGTATTTAGATTTCATCATGTGTGATCTCTAAGCTATTTGGATTCGAATGGTTTTATAACTGAAGGAATCCTCGTTTATCTAAACATTGCATTCTGTGTGATCTGTCTTCTGTTATTTGTATTGCATTCGGTTCAGACTTTAGAGACATAGCCCCTCTCGTCTTCTTCGCCCTCTGCAGGTGGCATCTTTGGAGCAGTACAAGCCATACTTCAGTATTGCTCATCTACTAAGAATGGTCATTTTACTTGTAGATCATTTAAATCTACTTATGCTTTCTTTTTTTTTAATTTGAAGATCATTTCTACAATGGCAGGGATCCATTATTTTTGCTTTCTGCCGGCTTCCAGTTTATGCTTTGCTTTTGCTTTTGTAAAGATAACTTTTTGGTCATTTTGTACATTATGTTATGGGTAAAGAACACATTTTGATCCCTGCTGCGCTCATGCTCCTGAGGGCTTGTACTGGTATTGCTAAGCTCATGCTCTTGACTCTTGAGATGTCAAAATATGTAAGCAACTAATTAACTCTCTCTCTCTCTCTCTAATGAGCCATAGTTTCTCTCCTGAATTCAATAAGAAATATGCATCACATAGCTGCAGCATCAGTTAGCCAAATGCACCTTTCAGTAAGCCTGCTTTGCTTCTCTAACGGTGAGTTCACACTTTGCAGTCAAACTGGCCGGACAGCAGGAATGCTTTGCTCTATGAAATGTTTAGGGTCAGAAACTATAAGCGCAAATTTATTTTATGTTATTTAGATGTAGACATGATTATCTACAAGGTTGTAACTCCAAATAAAAGGGCCTTTGCAAACAGTCCATGAACGTCTCGAATTTTCATGCACATTTGAGAGCCGAAGAAACATTGATTGGAATAGGTTTACTGGTAAACTCTGGTTGCTATTCGAAGTGTTCTGCAAATGGTGTAAATAATTTTAATAAGCTTGCAAAACAATTCAAGTGAACAAAATTTCTATGCCATGTTTCAAACAAGGCTGATAGCAGAGAGACCGAAAAAGAGTGATCTGAGTTTGTCCTCTTCAAACTAGAATGCTAGCAGACAGGCTTCTGCTATTTATACTCAAAAAAAAGTTGCTACTGATTACTTATATGTAATTAGACAGTAAGGACTGAAATGATAGATTGTTTGATCTTCTGATCTTTTGTTGTTCCTTCAACACTTCATATTTTATAGATTTGGTCAAGTGTCATCCAAGTTTAAGTAAAATTTCACAAGAGACTTGAATTAAGGTTATTCAGGACTACATGCTTGGTTCAATGATTTACAAATTCTTGATGCAGAGCTAACAACTAAAGCAACAAATTCTTGTGCAGAGCTAACCATAAAAGCAAAGAGCAAGCAAATATAAGGGTTAAAGCAAGGAATTCCTGTGCCGAGCAAACCATTAAATTAAGCAGCAAGGCTGTGCTTTAACAAGTTTCTATGCGGAGCTAACCGAGTTCTCCAGTGTTGAATCAGTGTTTTCCAATCCTTTGTATATCATAAGTAGTATGTGTTATCCCTTGGTTCAGTAATAAATTGCAACAAGTTATCAAGATAATTTATTTTGGTTTAGTTAAACTTGTAATGATGATCCATTCTGCAAGTATTGTCGGGATAAATATATCTATGTTTATTCAGAATGAGCTTTGTTTACTTGTAAAATTAAGTCCACTGTACAAATATAGATACTAAATAATTTTCTGCCACCTCCAGTGTTTGGAGCTGATACAAGTATGCCATCGACTCCATCTCAACCATAGCAAAGGTGATTCATCTCTTCTCATGCGCTTTGTTTATTTATAGAATTAAATCCATTGTACAAGTGCATATACTAAATAATTTTGTGCCAGCTCCAGAGTTTGGACCTGATACAAGTACGCCGACGACTCCATCTTAGCACTAGCAAAGGTGATTCATCTATTCTCATGCCTAGGTCGCTACAAGAGTCTGGACCTGATGCAGTTGTTAAATAAAAAATGATTTGGTTGCAATCATGAGAACACACTGATACTTTGATTAATATATGATATGTATATGATTAGCTTACTGGTCATAAGTGGTCGCAGTTTAGCTCTTTACAAATCTCTGATTTGCATGGCAGCGCTTAAGAGCAATTTAGAACTGATCTACTATATACGTTGGGTACTTGAGTGCTGATGAGTATATTTTGGAATGTTAAATTGCTAGGGATATCTTTACAGCCCACATATCATAAATAGGTCGTGGTCTTCGAGGTCGGGCGGGCGGCAGCGGAAGCCGACAGGCCGCGCGCGTCCTTCATCCCGGTCAGGCTCGTGTCTTTGTTTGCATTTTAATTGTCCACTGCCGTTGTTGTGGGAGAGAGCATGAGTTATGGGTTGAGAAAAGTATCTACAGTGTGCATGGGCAGTTACAATGTTGAATGTGCAAAATTGAACATTTCTTACCATGTTGCTTTCTCTGTTTTTCTTATTCGTGTCCATGAAACTTCAGACCGTCATTATTTTCTTAGTGTTGTGTTGTTTATCTCCTGGTCATCTTGCAGTCTGAATTTCCAAGTTTCAGTTTTAAATCCTTTATCCAGTTTTCAGTTTTAAACAATGTAATATGTGCAATCTGAGTTTTTGCAGTGCTCATACATTCTCTATTCTCTAATATATTCAATTTTCAGTTTTAAACAATATAATATATGTAATTTGAGCTGGGTATCGCTGCCTGCTATAATTTTATATGTGGAGCATTGGTTTCATTTTTGCAAAGATTTTGACTGGTAGGCCTTTATTCCCTGGAAAAAAATGTGAATCACTAATGACTGATCTCTTTGTCACGTCATTAACATATACTATTTTTACAAGTATGATGTTACTATTCATGAAAATATTAGCATGTTCATCTAAGCAAAGAGAGAAAACAAAGAGGAGGAAACAGCTAGGTACCCTTTTTAGAGAACTTCTATGCACATTCTTCAATGCTCAAGCTCTTTGCATTTTCAGTTTGTATTGTTGTAATTTGTGTTACTTTTAGCACTTGACTTTGGACAAGTTGGTCGAAGGGCAGCTTGTCATTGTCAGGTCAGCATATCTTACTTTACAATATATTTCTAATTAGCTCCTGAATACCAAAGAATGAGGATCCATGGACAATTTTTCTTTTAATTATTTGTATAAAATATACTTTGTCGTTCAATCACAAAAACTTATCATTGGGTTGTTTAGAGCTATATTAACGGGCACAGAACTACTAAGTTCATTTACCAGAGTAGAGTATCTATTGTATTAAAAATATTTGGACACATCACTCATAAAACATCACTCTTCAAGTATGTCAAACACGCCTAATATATCATGTTAGTTTTTAAGTTGCCTGTACTTTTAATCCGTGAGACCATATAACTAATCTTGGGTGTTGGCTTCCTCCTTCCAGTTTCCAAGAATACTATAAATGCATACCTTGATGATTACAAACCATTAATGAGAATTTTAGCCATGCACAAAATTCAATTTGTAATATTGATATTCCGAACATCACGCTCGCATTTCGTTTTTCTGTAACGATACAACACGTTCA